ATATTAAACATACTTTGTAATTGTAGAGTTTTATCATAACTGGTATATGATATATCAACACTTAATTTCACATGGCTAGTTAATATGGCCAGTTATGCTGTTTCAAATTTTTTATTTTGAAGTACTTATAAATTCACATGCAATCCTAAGAAATACAACAGAGAGATTCCATGTACCCTTTGCCCAGTTTCCACCAATGGGAACATCTTGCCAAACTACAGTACAATATCACATTCAGGATAGTATTGACAGTCAAGATACACAACACTTTTATCACCACAGGGATATCTCATGTTGTCCTTTTATAGTCTCACCTACTCACCTCCAACCTTCACCCCTTCCTTGACACCTGGCAGTTACTAATCTATTCTCCGTTTGTATAATTTTGTCATTTCAAAAATGTTATATAAATGGTATCATATAGGATATGAGTTTTTGGGAATTGGCTTTTTTATCACGTAGTATAATTCTCTTGAGATTCATCCAGGTGGTGGTTCTTATCAATAGCTTGTACCATCTTATTGCTAAACAGTGGATGTACCACTGTTTGTTTAATCATTTATCCATTGAAAGGCATCTGGGTTATTTCCAGTTTGGGGCTATAATAAATAATGCTGCTATAAATAAATATACATGTACATTTTAAAAAATTTCGGTAAAATACACAATGTAAAATTTACCATCTTAAACATTTTTAATGGTATATTTCAGTAGCTTTAAGTATATTTACATTGTATAACTATGACTACCATCCATCTGCAAAATCCTTTTCATCTTGAGAAACTGAAACTCTGTGCTCATTAAACACTAACTCCTTGTTTCCTTCCACCTGGCCCTTGGCAACCACCATTCTTAGTTCTGTCCCTATGAATTTGACTACTCTAGGTACCTCTTATAAGTGGAATCACACATTTTTTCTTTCTTTCCTGACAGGCCTATTTCACTTAGCATGATGTCCTCAAGGTTCAACCATGTTGTAGCATGCGTCAGAATTTCTTTTTAAGGCTGAATAATATTCCATTGTATGTATATATCACATTTTGTTTATCCATTTATACATTGAATGGTTTGAAGCAACTTGAGTTGTTTCCAACTTTTGGTTATTACGCATAATGCTGCTATGAACACAGGTGTACAAATATCTGTTTCAATTCTTTTGGGTACCCAGAAGTGAAATTGCTGGATTATATGGTAATTCTGTTTTTAATTTTTTGAAGAACCAGTGTACTCTTTTCCATTGCAGCTACACCATTTTAAATTCCCACTAATAGTGCACAAAGGTTCCAATTTCTCCACACCCTCATCAACACTTGTTATTTTGTTTTTTGTTTTTTGTTTGGTAATAGCCATCCTAATGGGTATGAGGTGGTATCTTGTGATTTCAGTTTTCATTTCCCTAATGATTATGCTGTCGAGTATCTTTTCATGTGCGTTTTGGCCATTTGTATATCTCCTTAAATGTCTGTCTCCAAAAAGGGAGACAAGGACTAGCCTTTTAAATTCCCTGGAGGTCACTTCATCTGGAGGGAGAGGCACTGCAACAATGGCTGTCTGCCTCTGAGTCTGTACCTCTGTGACCAGAACCAGCAATCAGAGCACAGATTCTGGTATTTGGAGGAGAGGGTCTTTATTGCCCACCCTGACTCTCACAAGCTATGTGCAAGCTGCTCTAGGAGCGTATGCCCAGCTGCCTGCCACAGGGTTGGGGATAGGGTGTGGGGAGGCTACTGTGCGAAGAGCTGAAGTTGACCCAAATTAACCACAGTTTACAATGAAGCTTTCCCCTGGAAACCTTCCTCTTTAATAGACTCCAGAGTTGTATAATACTTAACATTAGACAGATTCTATCAGGCCAGTTGTTGTCTAGGTGGGGAGACAGATTCCTGGTGCTTCTTACTCTGCCATCTTCCCTCTAGCTCCAGCTTATTAATTTTATATCAGACTATTCTGATTCAAGGTTATTAATCCTATCTACAACTATTTGCATATACTTTAAAATTTAAAAAGATGCCATTTATCATTTACCTTTGCATATGATGTCTTTTGCCTTGTAGACATTTTAAATTTTACATGGTTTTATCAATGCACCATCCTTTTGATGGATTCTGGCTTTGATAACATTCAATGTAAAATATTCTACTTTAATGTTAAAACGAGTAAAAATAAAAAATAAAATCTCTCTCAAAAAAGACTGATATAAAAAGACTGGTATTTATGCCTACTGTGCGATGGCTTAATCTTTTTGGACTTCTTTCTTTAGATTTTATATGTTTAAATCATTAATACTTATAAGGTTTCAGATTTGTGTGTAGTGTGGGGTAGGAATTTAATTTGTGTTTTTTTCCCCAAATAGGTAATGTATTGTGCCAAGAAAGTTTACTGAATAACATATAGATTTCCCAGTGGTATGAAAAAGCAGTGTTATTCTCAAATTCTATTAGGATATACATGAGTTTGTTTCTAAACTTGTTGGTCAGTTCCATTACTTTTTTTTTGTCCATTACTACACTATTGTTCTTAGACTTTGTCTTGAGGGCAACTCTGGTTCCTTTTCCACTTAATTTTCCTAACATATTTGTTTTTCCTTATTTAAAATTTTCTTGATTAATCTTAAAGGTAATATGTTAGAGTATCTTTGTTATTTTCCCACTGTTATTTTGATTAATTTACATCAGTGTGGGGGAAATAAATATGCACTTAAAAACACTGTGACACTTTATTGTTTTACTGCAATTTTCATTTAGATTTGCCTGCACATATATTCTTTTCTTTGCACTTAATTCCCCACCCCTCTCCCTGACTGTTTTTTTTTTTTGTCTTTGAGCTTTCACTTTGTATTATTTTGCCTGTTACGGAAGAAAACCCTTTAATGTTTTTCATTAGTACAGGTCTTGCTGGTGATGAATTTGCTCATTCTTGTTCACCTGAAACTATTTTTATTTCACCTTCATTTTTTTTTTTTTTTTTTTTTTTTGTTTTTGGTTTTTTTTTTTTTTGTGGTATGCGGCCTCTCACTGTTGTGGCTTCTCCCGTTGCGGAGCACAGGCTCCAGACGCGCAGGCCCAGTGGCCATGGCTCACGGGCCCAGCCGCTCTGCGGCATGTGGGATCTTCCCGGACCGGGGCACGAACCCGTGTCCCCTGCATCGGCAGGCGGACTCTCAACCACTGCGCCACCAGGGAAGCCCCTCACCTTCATTTTTGAAGGTTAATTTTACTGGATATACTGTTCTGGGTGAGCAGATATTTCCTTTCAGTGCATTGAAGATAACCACCTTGTCTAAATGCACTTGGTATTGGGGTAGAGGGTAGGGGTAGACTTGCTTGTTTCTAGCTCAGCCTTCCTGTGGGGATGTTGGCCCTTTCAATCCCTAGCTTGCTGTGGGAAGTGTCTCCTGTGAAACTTCCACCTTTAATGGGCTCTGGGTTTGACTTATGCCTCTCCTTGATGCCACGGAATCAAATTCAAGTGCTCAAGTGTTGGCAGATGCTCACAGTGCAATAATAATAGCTTTAGTCTTCAGTTTACCCCCAGAAAAGCTCGATACTTTTTATAAGGTTTTTAATGCTTTTAAGGTGGTGTTTTTCATACTTTATCTACATTTTTGGTAATATTTGGTGGGAGAATTGCTCTTAAGAATTTAGTCTGCCATTATCAGAAAACTTTGGTAATCTTTTCAGTGTTATATTCCAGTTTGTAATTTCTCTTGTCAGCTGAATCTAATTGTTTAAATCTGTATATCAAGTCTTAAAATTCCAGTTATTGTATTTTTTATTTTTAGAAGTTCTGTTTGGTTCTTCTTCAAGTCTGCCTGGGAATTTTATCATCTTTTCTTCCTTAGTTATATTTTCAATATCTTTTTTTTATGTCTGTGAGCATAAACATGTTTTATATTCTATATATGATTACACTAGTATCTGAGGTCTTTGCCGGTCGGATTATACTTTCTGATGTTTGGCTGACTTTTATTTTTTCATTCTTGTTGATTTATTTCTCATTCGTTTTATGAACTGTTTTTTTAACTATGGGCTCATATTAATTGGAACATGGGAATTCTTTGAGGTCTGGGTGAGCTAAGGTGGGTTTTTCCAGGGAGTATTTGCACTTGATGGGTTTTTGAAGCATTACCTCACCGAGATCATTTTTGGTTTTTTGTGTTTTTCAGGCCATATAGGTAATACGAATTCTCCTAATTCTGCCTGAACTTTTAAATTTTTTTTTATACTTTAATGTTATATAGATATGTATTTTGTTCTTATAATTCTAATTGTTCAAGAGCAGCGTCCTGCCCCCACCCCCACCTTGTGCGCGCATGCGCACACACATGCGCGTACACACACCCACACCCACACATACACACACCCACACCCACACATGCGTGTACACACACCAACACACACCCACACATGCGTGTACACCCCACGCCCCCACACCCACACCCACACCCCCCCCAACACCCACACCCACACACACCCACAAAACAGAACTCCCCTTCCCAAACCAGCCAAGTGTAACAGGACTTTTCTTGTCTTACGTTTATAGCCAAGGCTGTGACTTACAAGTTTCCTGATTCTTTGCATATTGTGGCATTTTCTAGTTTTCCCTTTCATTGGGCATATCACCCTTTGGGGTTCCCCCTTTTTATGTGGATGATCTCCAATATGTTTTCTCCTGCTGCATTGTCCCAAGTCTCAGCTCTTGTCTCTTATGCACAGAGACCTTCAAAACCAGAGCTGGCCATGGCATGCATTAGCAGACACTCCTGGAGAGCATCTACCTTCAGAACTCACTTGTCTCTCTGGATTTGACCTTTTTCTTAATTTTTTTACTTTAGGTTATTTTTCTTATTCCCTCCCACCTCAGTGTACACTGAAAAGACTTTATAAAACCCTTTATCCAACATTCTTAAGGATTTAGTCCTGAGGAGGCTCTTCAGGATCTCTCATCTGCCCCATTGCCCTAATATTTTTCAAATGTTATTTTTAATGTTTCTTTTATAGGATTCAGTTTAGCTGCATTTAAAAGAAACAAGAGGAAACTAGAGCTGGCAGAAAGGGTGGAAACAGATTTCATTCAACTAAAGAAAAGAAGACAATCAAGTGAAAAGGTCAGGAGGTGTTTGAAATATTAATAATTAATGTATCATAATGATATACTTAGTCTGCATTTAGATATATAAGCCTCAGAATAGTACAACCCAGTAGAAATATAATGCATGCCACATATGTACTTTTTAAGTTTTCCAGTAGCTGCATTTAAAAAAATTAAAAGAAACAGGTGAAATTAATTTTAAGACTTATTTAAAACAGTGAATCTAAAATACCGCTTCAAAAATGTGATCAGTGAAAAAATATTACTAGTGATCTAGTCTATTTTCTTTTTTTTTTGTATTAAGTCTTCAAAAAGCAGTGCGTATTTTACACTTACAGCACGTCTCAATTATGACATTAACTTTTCATTGGAAATATGATCTGTATCTATATATCATAAAGTTAACAGTTGAAAAAGTAGGCTTACATAACAAGTTACATAACAAACATACTTAAGACTTCCCAGAAATTGAGTTGAAACTCTGTTTTAAAATTAAAGTTTATTAAAATGTAATAACATTAAAAATTTAGCTTCTCATTTGTCCTCACCACAGTTTAAGTGCTCAGTTAGCTCCATGTGGCTCCTAGCTGCTGTTTTGGTCCTTGCAACTCTGGATGAACATGGCTGTTTAGGGGATAGAGTGTTATAAGGAAATGTATATATTGGATTCATGTAGGTTTTTTGTACATTCTAATTACATGTCTCTGTTTCTTGTTCTTATATTTTCTTTGTTTGCATTTCATGCATTTGTGTGCCCTCATGAGCCTGCGTGTGGCATTTCTTAGGTGTTTTGGGGGATAGAAAAATTAAAAACCATAACATTCATGCTCAAACTATGGCTTAGAGGTCCGTTAGCACACAGTTCATGGTGGAGTTCTCATGTCACATCGTCATTTGATATAACTTGGCATCTCGTTAATATTCTTCATTGATTAGTCCCATAATTGCTTATGTACTGGCTAATGCTTTCCGTCATAGCTATATATGGTTCATTCACATATGAATGCATACTAAATCTTCTCTCATGGTGATAGATATTTTTCCAGTATGTTGCCACATGGGACAATTAATCAAACATTTTGGTCCAAACCTTTTTATTTTTCTGCCAGAGAAGGGTAGAAATTTAGGAGGCAAATGAACAGATGAGTAGGTAGACCTTGGTGAAAGTGGCTAGTAGTGTGGTTCTGTTTCTTCGGTTTTTGCATCCTATGTGATGTCTGAGTAAGCAAATTTAGGACTTCTGTTCTTTTAAAAAACTGATAAAATTCGCATATAGTGAGCAATTTAATCATTTTTATAAATATATATATATAGCCATGTAACCCATATACCTATCAAGATGTAGAACATATCTGGTTCTTTTGTACTTCCTTTCAGCCATTCTCTACCCTTTATAGGTGACCACTGCTCTGAGTTTTATCACCATAGATGTTTTGTGTTGCTCTTGAGCTTTATATAATTGGAATCTTACAGAATGTACTCTTTTCTATTTGGTTTCTTTCACAAAGTGTTTTTGAGACAGTGGGTCACAGGTTTATTCTTTTTTATTACTGAATAATATTCCCATTTACTGTAAGTTGTTTATCCATTCTCCTACTGATGGACATTTGGTTCATTTCCAGGCTTGTACTTTATGAATAAAGCTGTTATGAACATTCTTATACAGGTCTTTTTTTCAGGGACATCAGTTTAGGGTTTTTATGCATAGAAATATCAGTTGACCTTATAGAGAATATCTTCAGCTGGTCTTACTTAGAAGATTCATTTTTTTATTCAGAAAATATTTATTAAGCAGCTACTCTTGGTGCTGAGCTGGGTAGTAAGAAAACGGTGGTGAACAGGATGGAGGTAATTCCTGCTCTAATGAAATTTTACATTTTAGTGTCTAGAGACGGAAACATATAAACGTACAATCAAGTAAGATAATTACCATGTTTGATAACTGATATAAAGGAAAAAGAAGCACAAGATGATATGATACAAAGTAACTTGGATATGAGAGATGGAGGGGAGACTCAAAAGAGGACTCCTTTAGTTAGGATGATACCTTGCTAGTTAGAGACCTTTCTGAGGGTGTAACATTTGAGGTGACATCTGAAAAATATGAAGTGAGTTTTATGAGAAGTCAGTGGAATAGTGTTCCAGGCAAAATGAACTGCATGTGCAGTGGCCCTGGTGGGGACTTGGCATATCGGAGGAATGGAGAAGAGGGGCATTGTGCCTAAAGCATGGTGGGCAAGAGGAGGATGGTATGATCTGAAGCTGGAGAGGTAGGTAGATGCCGGCTCCTTGAGGAGTTTCCACTTTTGTTTCATGAATAATGAGTTATTGTAAAAGAGAAGCAACACTGCCTTATTCATATTTTACAGAGTTCTTTCTGGCTGCTACGTGGTGAATAGGGGAAGGCAAAAACAGAAGTGAGGAGATTAGTTACAAAGTTATTACAGTTGGGAGATGGTGCCACATGGACTGTGGATGTTAGGGATGGAGATGGAGAGAAGTGAATATATCCAGGATATATTATAAGGGCTCCTAGAAAGACAGGAATTACTGATGCCTTATAGAGAGGGGATTTAAAAGTTTTAGTTTAGTCATAGTGTATTGCCATTTACTAAGGTGGGGCAGGGAGCTGGAGAAAGTATGGCTTCAAGGTGGTGGAGGTGGGAAGTGGAAACTTTCTTAGTTCATGTTCCCTTAATGAACTCAGATTAACCAATGCTTTTCATTTTCACAATAAAATGTATTGTCTGATGCCAAGGCACCCTGGACACTCAAGGTAATAGACCACTTTTAGTGTGCTATGTTCCTCTACTCCTTTCAGTTGAATTTTGTGCCACCAAGAGCTTCATTATGCTCATTGTTTTTATCATTTTATCCTTTATCATAATTCATTGTCTCTCATAAACTGATGAATATTGAGTTTAAAAAGAGAATTGTCTGCTTGAAAACTGGAAGAGTTGTTTGTTTGAAAACTAACTTGAAAAAGCAGAGTGGGTCTATAAAAAGTTGCTGTAGAATTAAGCATGGGCAAACCAGCTGTAAAAGATTGAGAAAAATCGTAAAAATCTAGAAGCTTTGTGCATTCAGAGTGTGTTGTTAGTGTATTTATATTCTTGTTCTATTTTTAGATAAAATAAAACTTGAAATCATAGGACAGTCCAGGGTGTTATAGGAAGATGGTATGGAACATTTGTACGTGGGCTCACATTCAGAGAAAGTCTTATATGAAAAGATTGGCTAGTGAATGAATGAATTGGTTTTGTGTTTTAAATAAAAAGGAAATATTTACAATATGTGTCCTTCTTTATGATTCTGTCCTTCACCCAGAGAATATTCAATTTTTGAAAAATTTAAACAACCACTCATCAACCTGGTTAAGAGGATTTGCAATAAAAAGCTGAATGTGGCAGCAGGAAAGATTAACTGTGGAGTTGGTTTTATGCATCTGAAGCTTAGGGGTAGGTCAGGGGGGACATTCCCATTTGGCAATCATTGGCCTCAAAAGGAATATGAATCCACATGTCCAGATGAGCTCACTTAGTAGGAGTGAGTGAAGATAGAGGTCTGAAAACTGAACCCTGGGCCAGGCCAACATGTCTACATTGGGAGGAGGAGAAACCAGCGAAAGAGAAAGATGGAGCAGCCAGTGGGGCAGAGGGGCCACCAGGAGAGTGTCTGGGAAGCAGAGAGGAGCGTTCAAAGTCAGGCATCACCTGGGTCAAGTGCTGCTGACAAAACAGTCGGGAGGACAGAGGACTGGCCACTGGACTCGGCACCTGGAGACTTTGGACCTGGATGAGAACAGTTTCCATGATGTGGTGGATTGTAGAGCAGGTGGAGTGGGTCCATCAGGGAGAACAGGGTGGAGATAATTCTTTTGAGAAGTTTTGCTGTGGAGTGGGGAGAGAGAGGTGGGGAGATAGGGTCAAGACACCGTACCACGGTTACCTTCTGTGAATTCACTGAGTAATTTCACCTAGGAAGGCTCAGTTTCCTTATCTTTAACTGAAAATAGTGATAATTCTGCTCCCGTAGCAGGGCTGTTAGGAGGAACAGATGTGTTAATGGATGTTCAAGTGTTTGGTGACTGTCACTGACTGAGACACCATCGTTTTTGCCTTTGCCATTGTTTGCCTTCATCTCAGACAAAAAAGAAGGGAAACTGCTACTCTCGGTGCTACTCTGGGTGGAATCTTGTAATGGAGAAAGGGAGGGTGGTAATGGAGGTCACTAGTAGTGGGTGGAGAGGTGGAATTCAGGCATGATTCAAATGGAGTATTTTAGACCCCTGAAATGACAGGAAAATATTTTTAATATTCAGAATATATGAACTTTAATGTGTACAAAGCACTGTGTTTGACTAGGACCCAGCTTCTGCCTTTAGGGAAGGATGCGGGCCACAGGCTTTGTTTTGCAGATGTTTGCTGTATAACCTTGGCAAAGGTAATAAAAACGCTCCGAGAAAGAAAAGACCACCAAATAAGGAGCCAATGGCGCAGAAAATTATAATTTTTGAGAGGAAGCGTAGCAATTTTTTAGAGATGTGACAGGAAAGGACAAATAGCTGTTTTCGAAATCAACCTGTATTTAGTTTATTTCTCCCTGTCCTGTGTGTATAGTTTCAGCATAGTTTTGGTTAGCCAGCATTGACTAAAGCCTGGAACTACTGTGTGTTGTGGCTACATAAAAGAAGCTGTGAGTTGGGTATATAAATATAATAAAAAGAATAGAGTTTTTGGTAACTTTCCTAATGTTCACTTTTTTGTTACTCAGTGTTGAAGGAGATAAATATTGTCTTGAAAGGAGTATACAGTAGAATAAATATTTTAAAGCCTGAAAATAAAGTAAATAAATTGAGCAATTTTTGTTGCATTGATATTTCTCGTTTTTCTTAAAAAAGTAATTGATTGTCCAGACATTATCACAATACTAATAGAAATCAGAATTAAAGCAAGAAGTATATTTAATCAGCTTGCTACCTCAATTAATTAGAGTATTTTTGTTTTCCTTTGTCTT